TGAAAGGCATAAACAAGATATTAATGAAAATAAAACTTAAGCATTACAAAAATACAAAGAGAGATAGCAAAAGCATGATGTTGATCTAGAGACCAAGATGCCTAAATGTATGGAAAATGCCTCTTTTTATAGGCTAAAACTGGAAACTATTGATTTGATGACTAATTGATGAGTGGGTGGCTACCTCTTGACTTGGTGACAATCCTTATCTTCTCTTGTCTGCCCAAAACATCATTGGTAACATCAAAATTGGAACCACTTAGAACATGAAAATTATAGGAAATTGTCTCAACTTTCCAGAAAAAAAATTGAGGTCATTTGCACTTCTAAAACTTCAGATATAGGCCAAACACTGAACAGTAATCAGGCTACAGGACAGATTCAGACCTCTTCATTATTGCTACATTTTGGACTTGAAAATAGCCTTTTTAAATCTTAGACTCCATATGAAAGTTGTAGGCCTATGTCGTACATTTCCATCCATATAAAGTAGATATAAATTCAAGATCTACAGCTCCAAATATGATCCAATTACCGAATAGTATTCCGATTTGGACTACACCAACATCTCAGTGATAAGAGTTTATAATATATTTGTTTGACATTTCAATAGTGGATCCTCTAACCTTGACATTTATTGTTATCATTGTTTAATTCTTACGTTAATATTCCATCTCAAAGTTCTTATCAACTTCTTCTTCTTCTTCTTCTTCTACTACTACTACTACTACTACGACTACTATTATTATTGTTGTTTATAATTTATATAATTAATCTCCCTATGGTTTGACCCTAGTCTTGCCTTATTATTTATTACTTCGACACTTCTGCACTTGGAAGAAGACATTAATCTTTTGTTCGTGTCACTAAAGAATTGATTCTCAAATTATATGGGTTGATCTAAGCCCTTTTTTTTTAGAAATAAAATTTTAATATCTCATGTCATAAATCATTTTTATGTTATTCCCTAATTCATATTTTTTTCTCTTTAAAAAAATAAAAAAATATAAAAAAATAAGAATAGTGAGAAAAGGATGCCAAAATGCCCTAAAAATGGTTACAAATTGGTTGATGAGGTTTAAAAATACAAAGATTAACATTTGATAATATTTTGTTGACTATGGAGAGCCATATTGATAAAGAAAATTCAATTTAAGGAAGAAAAGTCTAAAATTAGATGTTTATGGACTTTGACGGTTTAATTGAATTTATGGGGAATTTGATTTGAAAAAAATTGATTTTGGAGTCAATTTGGGCTTTAATTGGAAGAAATTAAAGTTCTGGGGTCAAATTATAATTTATAAGATTTAATTTGGTTAAATTAGGGGCTTAATTGCATAAATATTAAAGTTTGATGGCCAATTAGGGATTTAATTGAAGAAATCTGAAACCAAGGACCAAACTGGAAAAAACGTGTAAATAAAATGGTTGTAATTAAAACTTGATCAGGGGTTCAATTAAAGAAATTAAAAGTTTATTATTCAATTGAAGGTCAAATTGTATAACTTCAAGACCAAGGATCAAAGTGAAAAAAGCGACCAACTTTAGGGCCACTGTTTGATTTTTGCCAGGGATGCAATTGCATTGATTTTTAATCAAAATTGAAATTTAGGACTTTGACATAAGTTTGGCGTCATTTTCATTTAAATGAAACGGAGGGTTTTTCCCGAAACGACGCCGTTTCATACACTATTAAAAAAAAAGAAAGGAAAAGGTTATAACGATGTTGTTTTGAGCAGCACTGCATCCTTTCTTCTTCTCTTAGACGCTTAGAAAATAGGGAAGAAAAAGGTTTCATTCCCTTGTTTTCACCGACATTTCTCCTTTCCTTCTCTCCTAAACATCAAAAAGACACCGACCATAGCCACTTGCTATAACTCTGACCCATGGCTTACCATGAGGCGATGAAAAGACAGAGGGGACATGCTCCTCTGTTAGTTGTTTTAGAGCGGCTGCACAGTGTCCGCCCCTGCCTCTCTCCCCTTTGTTTTCCTATAAATATAGGGGAGAGCACAAGACACAAGGGGGCAAAAAAAGAGAACAGAACAGAGAAGACAAGAGAAGAGAGGGAGCAGAACAGAAGACCCGAAGAGTAAGAAAGAACAAAACAAAACAAAAAAAAATTAGAAGAAAAGAGGAAGAAAAAAACAGAAGAGGAGCTGCCACCAATATCGCAAGCCACCACTTCTGCCACTACAAGGCATGATAGCCAGGTAATCTTCTCCTATTCTTCTATCCCTGTTTTGGCTTCTAGTTTCATTTACATGCAGAACATGAGTAATTCATATTTTGCAACAAATAAAATATAATTAGGTAGTTATTATGCTACTATGCAGAGTACAGTAACTACCTAATTATAATTTACTGGTTACTATGCTCATAGCAAGTAACCAATTATCTATGGGCTGGTTATGGCCCAATTTTGTTTTAAGCCGGTCTCGGCCCAGTAAAAAAAATCATCAAAAATTATTTTTGAAAAATTTGAGATTTTCTTGTGTATTTTTCTATGCTATTTTTATTAATATTGATCAGTATTTTATGTCATAAAAATACAAATTCGGTATTAAAATATCCGGTTTTCATTAAAACTTTCAAAAATACAAAAAAACTTGAAAAAATATATTTTTGTGCATACAACCAAGTGTCTTAAGACTAAAAAAGTCATATTACGTTTTCCATATATCAAAAAACAATATTTTAGCATGCATTTTGGATTTAATAACTAGTTTATTAAAGTCAAGAGAACATTAGCTAAAATTTCAAAAACAATAAAAATGTTATTTTGTTTTGTTTTAGTATCAAAGATTATGAATTTATACGTAAAATATTTTCCCAATAAAAAAATAGAAAGGTATTCTTTTTTCGGACTCTAGAACGGTTATGTTCTACCACGTTAAGATAAGAACATTCTTATTGAGCAGGACTTTTCTTAAGTTTTAGATAGACATGCAATTAGAAAACACAATACGACTTTAATTTTTTATCAAACATTAAAACAATACAGTTAACCTTATGCAGGGAGTAGTTGGGATGCTAATACCTTCCTTTGACGTAACTAGTCTCTATATCCAATCTCTAAGACCAATTATGGTTCCTACTAATTAGAATACCAGGTGGTAATTTTCATTCTAATTTTTTACTAATAAGAGACAATAATTCTTTATCGCTTCATATTTTATCATAGATAAATCATATGCAGTTTTCCTAGATGGTGGATGATCACCACAATACCGCATATCGTGACATATCATATGAAAAATTTTAAAAATATTTTATATGAAAATAAACTATATATAAATATTTTATATATAAAAATTAAGAACATTTAGATAGAAATAAGATATATGTAGCTATCACATATAGAAAATTTACTAAACATTCTATATAAATATAAAATGAATATTTATAAAGTAATTTTATATATTTTTAATTTATTAAAATAAAATATGAAAATGTAAGAATTGAGGTGAATTTTGAGTTTAACTTTATGAGTCATTTCAATTCAACTAATTTATAGCATATTTAAAAGTTTGATTATAGTTGTTTTTCAAATTATTTTTTATTTATAGAAGTATATTGATATTTTTTAAAAGAATTATTTTTAAAATCAATATATTAAAATAATTTAAAAATATAAAAAATATATTAATTTAAAATAAAAAAATCAAATTTTTTGGAAAGCATTTTTAAAACACAATGTAAAACATTAATTAATTATAAACCCGACTTTTGTCTGTTTAAAAGCCGACGACCGGGCCGGTTTCACTACTATGATTGGAGGACGAGGAGCAGCATCAGTATATTGTTTTTTTTTATTTTTTCGTAGAAAATATCAATCGTTCTTCCTTGTCCAAACTCCATCGAAACCAGATAGACAGACTCCGACAATATCAGTGGCTATGATATCGCCTACAGAGCTCGATGATGATACGGTGCGCAGTATGTCTATCGGAGCCGTTTTCTCCGACTTTGTAAGCTTCACGATATTCCCCCTTCCTCCATTTCCTTATTTCAACTCAAAAGAATCACATTCCACCAGATAGAGTTTTAATTTTCAAACAGAGGCAATTAATAATTAATTTTGTAATTTATATAGGGAGGGAAGATTAATTCAGTTGATTTTCATCGAAAAGATGATCTGTTAGTTACAGCTAGCGAGGATGATTCGGTTCGTCTTTACGACATTGCAAGTGCCAAGTAAGTCAGTTCTCTGCTTCTTTTTTTTTTAAATAATAAATTTAATTTTAGTATGGGATATTATTATTGTAAGTTTTTTTTGGTAATTGAATATTTCAGATTGCTGAAGACTACTTATCACAAGAAACACGGTACAGATCGAATATGTTTCACGCATCACCCTAGCTCCGTTATTTGTTCCTCAGTATACCATTTAGATTCTACCGGAGGTCTGCTCTGGTCTACATTTTCTTTTCTTGTTTTGCATACGTACATACATACACATATACACGTATATATACATATACATATACATACATACATGTATGTATGTATATGTATATATGTATGTTGTGATGATTGAGTGGGTGTTATGATATTTACTTATTTATTTTGCAGAATCATTACGTTATCTATCATTGTATGATAATCGATGTCTTCGCTACTTCAAAGGCCATAAAGACAAGTATAGCTTCTTTAGTAATCAGCACAGATAGTGGTTTCTTGCAAAAATTACTTTGTATTTTGTTTTGTTTTCTTGCAGTCAAAGTCAATATCATCTATCTTTTGACAACATTGCTTTCATGTTTTTATTTGTTTTCGGTGGTTGCGGGTGGGGTATTCGAATATGGGCACTACATCTCAGATTCAAGTTATTTACCATAAGCCGAATCCTTGATGGCAGAAGTGCTTTGCTTTTACCATTCTACCTGATGATTACATGTATATGTTGTAAAAACAGAAAATGGGTGCTTCCCTCATCTGTTTACATTTTATTGTATCACATTCACACATTGCCGTGGCTTATTTAGGGTAGTTTAGATTCTTGTCACTTTTTTATTTTTCCCAATCTCAAATGTGTCTTCCATCTCATGAAGCTAACATGAATTTATATATATATATATATATATATATATATATATATCATGTTGTAGGGTTGTTTCGCTCTGCATGTCTCCAATTAATGATAGCTTCATGTCCAGCTCTCTTGACCACAGCATTAGAATATGGGATCTTCGCGTAAATGCCTGCCAGGTTTGCTTCTGGTTTAGCATTAACTTTTGATGTGAGGCAGTTGTGATGACCAATCTACAATCTTATTCCAAACAGCTTGTATTTATGCTCACTGTTATAGTTTTCAGGGAATTTTGCGTTTACGTGGTAGACCCACAGTTGCATATGACCAACAAGGTCTTGTCTTTGCTGTGGCAATGGAAGGGGGTGCTATTAAACTGTTTGATTCACGATCCTATGACAAGGTTTGTATCTTCTAAGCAACGACATGATTTTGCTTTATTATTCTGCTGAGTTTGACCTGTATCTCTAATTGTAGGGTCCCTTTGACACCTTTTTAGTTGGTGGAGATACAGCTGAGGTTTGTGATATTAAATTCAGCAATGATGGCAAATCAATGCTATTGACGACCACGAGTAACAACATCTATGTTCTTGATGCATATGGTGGAGATAAGGTTAGCTTCCTGGGATGAACACTTCTGTTTAGGGTCTTTAAAAGTATCTGATTCATTATCTCCTTAAAGCCGGCCCAATGTCCTGTTGATTTGATTCTAAAGAAGCTTGTACACTGTTCTGTTTATGTATTATGGGTTAAGTGATCAATCTAAACTTTTCCTCTTGCAGCGATGTGGCTTCAGTTTGGAACCATCTCCCAGTACAACTATAGAGGCTACTTTTACCCCAGATGGCCAATATGTGGTATCAGGTATCTGATTTTTGGTTCAATTCTCCTAATAAAATGTTAAATCATATCCATTCCCATTTTACCCAAAGAAAACTAATATGATATATGAGGTTGAATGTCAATGCCATCAGTTTGAGTTTTGAAACTAATGTTGTTCAAAGTTTAAAAGCTACCACTAATAATCGCATGATAAGCATTTATGCTAATGTCACCTGCTGTGGTTTTTTTTTAACGAACAACAATACAATACAACTCATGATGGTTTTGAGCTATCATCTAATGTAGCATAGTGAGATGCAAATTTCAACTTAGTCTTTCGATGTTCTCTATTTGGAGTACTGAAATGGTGCTAACATTTTTTCTGTACAGGCTCAGGAGATGGAACCTTGCATGCCTGGAACATCAACATGCAAAATGAGGTATGGTTCATCTCAATATTTTGTCTGATTGGGTTTTCTAATTGCACAGGGCAGTCATGGCAGAAAAAAAAAATGGAATTCAATGTAGCTAGGGTGTGCACCCCTTTGACTCTCGTTAGAAAGATGTCATATAGTGCAAGGATGTTAAAGATCTTTGTTTTTTTACCACTTTACCTCCACGTATTTGGCTGGTGAAGTCTCTCCGGACATCACTATAGTTCCTTAGTTACATTTTCTTTCTGTATGTATATTAGGCCTAGTGATTGTTCAGAATTCTGCAACATGTCAATGTGGAAGCAGAGTATATGTGCCTACTGCCCAGGTAGTGTAGATTCCCCTTTGCAACCAAGGGGAATCCCGCTAGTTGGATTGGCACCTGTGTGGCAAATTGAATATCCTTAACATCGTCTACTTGCGTTTGAAAAGAAAAGAAAAAAAAAAATCTACTTGCGCGTTTGTAAAAGCACTATTGAAGTAGTGGCCATGAAAACAACCTTCATAGATATTCAACTTTTCCTTATTTATTGTGTTGAAAAATTACGAATTTTGAATTTCCTATTGGAAAAATTTCTGCATGGCTAAGCTATCATCAATTGATCATTTCGAAAATGATAGTAGTTGTGCTGAATTAATCTCTTGGGTTGAGGTACTAGTTTGCACAAAAACAGGCTTCATTCATCAATGAGAGTTGAGATGGCAATGTAAAATGGTGTGCTTTTGCAGGTGTCATGCTGGAACAGTCACATAGGCATTGCATTATGCTTGAAATGGGCTCCTCGTCGTGCCATGTTCGTTGCTGCCTCTACTGTTCTAACGTTTTGGATACCTGACAGCTCCAAACCAACTGTCGATCCTCGTCCCATGGACACTGAAGGTGCAGCTCCATCTGAACATGTAACTCAACAATGAATCCAGGTAACCTCTTTTTTTGTTTATGCTTACTAGGAATCCTAGGCGCTTAGCTTGTTATGTGCAATGGAAATCCTGGTAAACTAATGTACCCTTTGTTGGGCCAAAATTTTGGTGTGTGCTTGAATCGGACCGAGTTTCTGTATCACAATACTTTTATTCAGTGTTTGGATCTCGTGATTTCAAATCTTTTTTTTCCTGTTATACAGGCACCCACTAGCTACTCCGTCATATACTTTTAATATTTTATTTCAAAAAAATATCGGCATGTTTTGTATATAATTAAATAAATTGATAACCATAAATAAATTTAAAAAATAGTTAATAATAACAAAAAAAATAAAAAAATAAATATAAATCAAAATATTTAACCATACAAATGAGATGTTCATTGATTATGTTTATTAAATTTATTTATTTAAATTAATAAAAAATAAATTCACCTTAAAAAACTAATGATTTAAAAGTTAAACACAAATAAAAGAATGACTGATGCTCTAAAAAATATTATGTAAGGTCAAATATATTAGTAATATTATTTAAAAATAAATATTTTTTATTTTAAAAAATAAAGTTTATTTGTGTGTGTGTGTGTGTGTGTGTGTGTATATAGATTATAATAATATCTTGAAAAATCAAACACAAATAAAACAATTAAACAAAACTTATATTAAAAAATAACATGTAATACTCGTAACCTAGACCATGAGATCATGATAAACTCATAGAAAAGCAATTGAAGATAATCACAAAACAAATATTAAAAAAATTGATGTAGAACAATACTATTGTACGAAGCTGAATACCCAATAAATTAAATGTTGATAGATAAAATAGAAAAAAAAATCAATTATACAAAAGAATTCAAATAAAAATAAGGGTGAAATAAAAACCATTAATTAGAGGGCAAATAAAAAATTTTAATTAGATGGTTAAATTGAATTGAAAAAAAGCTTTGACAAATGAAAAAACAAATAAAAAAATAAGGTTCAAACTAGAAAAAAATAAAACAACAAAAAATTTGATTAAATAATTAAATCAAAAGCCAAAAAAACTTCAACAAAAGGGTTAAGAAAAAAATAAAAATAAAAAAAAGATTGAAATGAAAAACAAGACATGAGAAATTGTAATTGAAAAACTATTTTATAAAATAAAAAAACAAAAAAAAATAATGCTATACTTGACTTGTTAGGGAAGAGAAAGCATGAAAACAAATCAAATGATCACCGGTGATGACCATCTGATTATCGTATATCATCACATATCAAACTGTTGATGACCATCTGATTATCATATATCATCACTAATGATATACTTGACTTGTTAGGGAAGAGAAAGCATGAAAACAAATCAAATGATCACCGGTGATGACCATCTGATTATCGTATATCATCACATATCAAACTGTTGATGACCATCTGATTATCATATATCATCACATATCAAACTGTGTGAAAAACAACACGATGACACATGTAGAGAAGCTAGAAAGTTAGATTTGACTACTAAATAGTGTCATATACGCCGCTTAAATGATGTGGATGCCATCTATTTGTTGGAGTATGTTGCACACGTGTTAATATTTTTTCTAACTAAAAAATTTAAAAAATAACGTAAAAATACTAAAATGTCTTCAATAACCTTAGTAATTACACAAAATATTGATGTGAAAGTACAAAAACACTCCATGTGAAATTTTTACTTTTTTTTATCTTTTCTAAGGTTAAATACATACTTCCACACATATAAATAATAAAAAAAAAACTAAAAAGAAGCCAAGAAAGTCTTTAGTGAACACCTTTTAATTTTATTGATTTTAGAAGGAAAAGTTTATTTTTATTATGTTAAAAAAATAAAAAAGACACCAAATCATCGTAAAACTAATGAGAAGCCCAGAAAGTTTTCAGTGACCACCTTTTAATTTTATTAATGCCAGAAGGAAAAGTTTGTTTTTATTATATTAAAAAAATAAAAAAGACACCAAATCATCGTAAAACCAATGAGAAGTCAAGAAAATCTTTAGTTAATCCTGAACATTCCTTCAAAACGAATGAGCGAGTGGAAAACATCAGATGACCATCCTTTAAAACCAACGAGCCAGTGGAAAACACCAGATGACCATCCTTTAAAACCAATGAGCCAGTGGCAAACACCACATCACCGTAGCCTTAAAAGGATCTACCCTAAACGTTTCCTGAAATATGCAACTCCTTGTTTGAATTTTTATGCGTTACCAGCGTTAATTTTGCTAGAGAACTTCCTATATTCATGTCGTTTTAGACCCTGTTTTTGCCATCAAACCATGTCACGGTGCATTTGCATTTATCTTCAAGGAAGCAGACAATTGATAAAGGGATCATGTATTTTTGGTTCGATAATCTATGTAATCCCCTAACACTCTGGCTGACTCAGGACTATACAAATTGTTCAACAATTTTCATGGTTCCGCAGAGAACCTTCTATGCTTAAAAAAAAAAGAGATCCAAATTTCTTCTCGTAACTGGACAGAAGTATGCGTATTCTAAAGTTGAAAGATAAATGAAAATCAAGATTCTGTATGCGTATTCTAAAGTTGAAAGATAAATGAAAATCAAGAAAAATGATAAAATCATTGTTGATGATCAAGAGATAATTCAAAGTCTGGATATCATTGCAACTTTTCCTCTTTTTTGTTTTATACCTCCTTTTTCCTTTTGGCAAGCTACTGAAATGAGTCCAAGTGGCTGAACTATTATAAATGAACAATCGAATTGAGATTTTCTGGCAAGTGGTGAGAAACCTGAAATTCTGGAGATTACAAAAGAAAACGCATAGAAGATGGCATTCAAATTCAGCAATTGAACCCAGAACACAAAACACCAAATTCTCACTTTCTAAGGGTAGAGCTCATAAACCAAACTCCATTCTACCTCGCAATCGAGGTCTCTTACAACTACATACAACAAAGTACCTCTGCAAAACCAGCCTTCGCATGTAGAACCCTAGAAACCAACACTATTCCTCACTTGATTTCATGTCCTTTTATGTGCCTTCCTCTGGATTTCCCGGCCCTCTGCCCCACATAACCTGCCATGCCTTGCATGCGCCTCTTTGCCTGGTCCAGTCTCTCCGGCATGGTCCGGGTAGCCTCCTGGACGTACCTAGCAACCCAGGATAGCGACCTGAACCCTGTCAGCCCTAAGGCCCCAGAAGCCAAAAACGAGGTCACCGCAAACACAATAAGAAGGGCAGGTGGGACTAGAACGGGGCTGAACAGAATAAAACGAGGGGTGGTGACAGTCAGACAGATCAGGGTGCCTACTAGGGTTATACCTGCAAGTGCAAGAAGCCCACCACCTACAGGTAGCATTGTGAGCACAGCTAGGACTTGGGAGGCTGATGGCCCTTGCTGTTGTGGACCCCCCAAGCCATGCGCTTGCACTTGGTGTGGCTGCTTACGATCAACCATTGGCGATGGTAACGCGACTTCGAGGTGGTGGTGTCTTAAAGAGGAGTGGGAAGTGCAACATGGCGACACGTTAAAGGGTAAGATGATGAGTAAGGGTTTTGCATGAGAAACAAGTTTCAGGGCCTCTGTTCGGGAAAATAACAAAAAACAAAGAAATGTAGAGAAAAGAAAACACTGAAAAACGTAAAAGAAGATGAGGAGGCTTGTGAAGATGGGGATCTTTGTGCCACATTGCCATTGCAGGTCAGTAAAAATTGTTGATTTGTGCTTTTATGCATGGAAATGCGTGGGTTTTTGGCTTCACCTGAACATTGGTTGTTACCGTGAGAACAATCCTTCCCTGGTTTATTTTTGTATCAATTGAGATCACAAAAGTTTCTCGAGCTACTGGAATTGATAAATTAATTGATACTGTAATTATTGGGTTATTTTCGGCATGAATCTTATATTTTGATTTATGTTAAGAACACATACAATTATATTTGATCGGAAACACTAAAAGAAAAAAATTGTGATGGCCCTTCACTAATTACAACCTATCAAGTTTTGATATACACGTCTCTAATAGATCCACATCTTCGTGCAAGAATATTCACCCATTTGTTTATTGGTTATTAGTGGGTTGCTTGCACGGTCTTTGTTATTTTAAGAGCCTAACTTCTCGCCATCACATCCTCTCGTCAAATCCCTAGCCCTCGTCGTCAGGTGAGCTACCCCCCACTCTTCACTCCTCTCTACTTATGTAAGAGACTTGTTTTTGCAAGGTTCACCAAGCCCGGCACTCAAGCTCAAGATTCACCATGGAAAGCTTAATATCATTTTGATGTTTCAACGAATTCATAAGTGGTGTTATCTATGAAAATAAGTAAACAAAAATTAATTTGTTTAAAAGATTTTCAAGGATAATCAATCTCTCTATCAATGCATCAACTCTTATGCATCTTTATTGGCATGTTGTGGTCATGGTCATAGGAATTACCACCACCATCTTTTAAGACCTCACTCTAATAGTCTTGATAGTCTTGATAGTTTTGAGACATAGGCCACACAATGATGAAAGAAAAATAAATACCTTACTCATCAAATAAGAAATTTCTTGTTGTCCTAAAATATATTAAACACTTGAGAGGATTTTTAATTAGTACTTAAAAATATATTTTTATCAGGGTTGTATATTATCATTTTGCACTTGAAGTATCAATAATTTTTTAATTAAATCATGTTTTATAATAACAAGTCTAATACTATAAGATATTTTTAATTTATGGTAAATGGTTATCCTAAATGCAAGCCTATCACATAAATAAAAGGATTGATTGATGAGTTGAAATACTGAAATTGAAAGGATAAAGAGAGGGTGAAGCTTAGAAAAGATATTCTGGTTTAGTCCAAACTGGAACATTGTTCGATAATTGGATCATAACTAGAGCTGTAGAACTTATATTTATGTCTACTTTATATGGATAAAAAGCTAAGACATAGGCCTAAAACTTTCATGGGAAGGCAATAATCAATTATACTGTTTGGAAGTCTGAATCTTAACAACAACGTAGAAATTTGAATCTGTCATGCAACTTAGATGATATTCAGTGTTTAGCCTATATCTTGAGTTCTAAAAGTCCAAATGACCCCAACTTTTATCCTGGAAAACTGAGACAATTTCCTAGAACTTTCATGATTTAAGTCTATCTAAATTATAATATTAGTAACGACATCTCAATAATTAGTCAACAAATTAATAATTCTAATATTAGTAATGACATCTCAACAATTAGTCAACAAATTAATAATTCTCAATTTTGGCATATAAAAGGAGGTATTTGACATGCATTTAAGTATCTTTATTTTCAGATCAAGATCATACTTTTGCTCTCTCTTTATTATAATGCTTAAGTTTTGCTTATATTAATCTCTTGTTTATGCGTCTCATTTCCTTTTCTTTACTTAGTTAACTTATATCTTATTTATATTCTTATCTTGTTTATTTATGTTTCTCTTTTTCATTATGTTTAGCTAAGTTTATCATGTCAAGGTGAACATGTTTTGTATTTGTTATCTTATTCACTCTTAATACTTTTCTTGTCAAATGATTAATTTAGATTTATATTGCATAACTTTGGTACAACAAAAACTTGGTACTTTTATAGCACAAATCGTATGGTATAACCGACACTTGTGCTATGAAAGGAACTTGATTTGTTGTTAACATAAATTGTATAAATATTATTCGAGTAAGATAACTAATATACTCATGTTAACAATTTATAATCCGATTGGAACTTCCTTTATGTGTGGTTTCTATTGAGTAATAAGAATTTATACTATATGATTAGTACTTAAAAGTGCATTTTTATCATGGTTTTCCTGATAGTTGTTTTTATCATTGTTTAATCCTTACATTAATCTTACAATCTCAAAATCCTTTTTAATTTATTATTATTGTTGTTGTTGTTGTCATAATTTATATAGTTAACCTCTCTATGGTTCAACTCTGGTCTTGCCGGATTATTTATTACTTAGACACTCCTGCACTTGAAAGAAAACATCAATCTTTTGATCATATCAACTTTAACACCACGAAGATGAATCTATATAACTATGATAAACTCATTAACCTTTGAGAATATGTATAAAATGTTAGGAGTAACCTTGAGTTGGTAATACATGATAGCAATGCTACGTGTAAAATCTTTTCCATTATATTTTATGGATTTATATGAGTTTGATACCATGTTTTAGAACTTGGTTATATCATTAGTTTTTTTATTTTTTTACTTGCGTAGTAACGTCATTGCACATTTTAGAATTTGTATACCTGTTAAAAAAAGCTTAACTAAACTTTTTTCCATTACTCAACTTAAAATGAAAATGAAAAGATTTAACAAGAAGATGTTTAAGGTGGAAGGATTGATTAGACTTGTTGCTATAGAGGCATTAATAAATGGAATTCATAATTATTCCATGTGGAAATGACTATACACCTTCATAGATAAAACTCTTCTTATAGTAAAGCAAGTAATAGAAAAGCATATTCACGTAGAAGAAGTAAGTGTATCCAAACAAGAACATCCTTGTTTTCACAGACATATTGCACCTAATATTGCAGCGAGCCTATAAAAATAAATTGTTTTATGTTTGGAAAATAGGGTAAAAATGGAAAGAAAAGTCGTCACCTAATATTATAATCATTTAAAACCCTAACTATTTAACAAAAATCTATGATAAGTGATTATTTATGCTAGAGATAAAATACTATCACCTTAAAGTATTTTATCTGAGGTAAGTTACATTACTAATTTTTTCTTATATTACTAATAATTTATTGTGTCTAGTTTATCGATGATCTATCTATAAGATGATAATGAGTTTATTGTAATGAGTTAAAACACAATTGTTGGTTTAAACTTAGCCATTCTAAAATTTGGTTTATTTTTTCCATTCTTAGTTATTACCTTTGGATAACACTTAGTGAATTGATAATTTTAAGGTTGGTCACTCGTGGTTATAACTTCTGATTAATTATCGATCAAGTGATGTCGTCAAATGATCTATGGATCTATGTTAGGCTCATTAAACCCAACTTAAATCATTGGAAAGGTCTTTAGAAGGTGCCTTGATAAGGCTCACCTATATTATAGCACTAGGGTTTTGCTTGCAATATTTATTGAATGAAGACTTAATACTCCTAATTCATACTCAGTAATAATCTATAAATATTAAATTAACAATCTTCTTACTACTCCTAATTTTTTATCGGTAAATATTAAACTAAAAGTTTAATACTTTTAATTTTATTATTGATGACTATTAAATTGAAAATGAAATACTTCTAATTTTGTTACTAATGAATATTGGACTAGAAATTTTATTGTTTAAAAAAATCAAAAGGATGCACTCCTCCTGTTAATATCCAAAGAAATGATCTGTATTTAGTTCATTTCCCTTAAATATCAAATGTGAATAGCAAAACATTCTTTAAATGGGTTTTTAGAAAACCAATATGGACTTTTTAAAGATTTTAGGAATATCAGCCTTATAGACCTTTTAATGTGAGCCAAACTTCAATGAGTTTTATAAACTTGTTATAAAACTCCAAAATGCATGCAATAAATATTTTTTTTTTGGAAAAATGCTAAACAAGATCAAAAATCAAAACATACAAGAATATTTTCTAGTTTATATATATATGAGAAAGAGACTTAGCCATATGCGATATTAACAAAAAGAATCTTAATGAAGTAATTCTTTAATATCACAAAATAAAAATTGAGCATATAATTATCATTGGACAAGGGTAAGATGAACCTAAACTATATACCAACTAAAAGCTTCATGTATATACAAACCTTAAACTAAAAATAAAACTCATACACCATATTACAATTTATCGTCAATAAAACTTAGGAAGCGCGAGTAAGCACATGCATACATTACATATAAACAAAAGAAAGGCCAACATCCATGCATGCTTCTTTGTTTTACATGGAAATGAAACAAAAGGAAATACCTACTAATACGATCTAGACAAGGTCAAATTCGGATTTTGATGTAAAATGTG